ATGCTGACTATGACCCCAAGAACACCATCTCTACAGTCAAGCACGGAGGTGGAAACATTATGTTTTGGGGCTATTTTTCTGCTAAGGGTACAGGACGACTTCACTGCATTGAGGGGCAAATGGACGGGGCCCATGTACTCTAAAATCTTGGACGAGAACCTCCTTCCCTCAGCCAGAACACTGAAGATGGGTCATGGATGGGTCTTCCAGCAGGACAATGACCCAAAACATACCACCAAGGCAACAAAGGAGTGGCTCAAGAAGAAGCACATTAAAGTCATGGAGTGGCCTAGCCAGTCTCCAGACCTCAATCCTATAGAAAATCTGTGGAGGGAGCTGAAACTTCGAGTTGCCAAAAGACAGCCAAGACACCTTAAGGATTTAGAGAGGATCTGTAAAGAGAAGTGGATCAAAATCCCTCCTGAGATGTGTGCAAACTTGGTGACCAACTACAAAAAACGTCTTACATCTGTGCTTGCCAACAAGGGTTTCTGCACCAAGTACCAAGTCATGTTTTGCTTGGGGATCAAATACTTTCTTTCACTCACTGAAATGCAAATCAATTTCTAACCTTTATATAATGTGTTTTTTCTGGACTTTTTGGTTGGTATTCTGTCTCTATACGTAAGAAAAAAAACTAGCATAAAAATGACAGACTCTTCATTTCTTTGTAAGTGGGCAAACTTACAAAATCAGCAGGGGATCAAATAAAAACACAATGTACTGTGACTGCCTGTGAGAATAGTATTGTACAAATATCCCAGAACTCCCTGCACATTTATCCAAGAGGACAGTTAGCATTAAACAGACGCACACTACAGTAATCAACCATAATCAAAACAAAACAGAAAAAGCACTGTTCTGGAAACAGCATGAAGAGCAATCCAGCACACGTGGCTGTCTAGAGAAACAATTCTATCCACATATAACATAGCAGGGGAAAATGCCTTTATTAACCTGATCTTTTGGACATGCCTGAGTGGTGCTCTAGCTGCCCCATGTCTCATTCAAGACCTTTATCCATCTGCCAGGGAAAGAAAGTGTGATTGCCTGTTTACCTGGAACATGTCTGAAGTCATTGGAGAGCTGAACTACTGAGCCAGGCTGAACAAGTTAGCAATGAATAGTAATGGTATGTTACAAATGCACAACTAACTTCCAGATGGGAATAGAACAAGCATTCAGGAATTCAGTGTTAATGCAGTGGAAAGGTAAGAAATAGAAATAATGTGGACTGGAGATTCTGTGTGTTCTTCCTTACCTTATCGACAAGGCTTTGAAACTCAATCGTAGACATTGCTAGACCTTATTAAGAGAGGCTTTGGCCCTACTGTGTTTTATCTCAGTCCCCTAAAAATCTGGGGCCACATTCACAAAACATCTTAAGGCTAAGAGTAGTTCCTAAATTGCCAATTTAGGAGAAACTCATAAAAATAACGGACGTCAGTCCTAAATTTAGGACTCTTAAATGTTTGCACTAAGAATATTTCACAAAGTGTTTTAGCGCTAAAACCAGCTCCTAAATCTTTAAAAAGTGCTAGTCAAGAGGCAATCCGCTCTGAACATAAACGTTTTAAAAACATGTCATGATAATTTCCCTTTAATTCAATTATGTTCTTCTTTTCATGCACAAGAAATATCAGCTGTTCTCGTGCCCAGTTTGTTTTTTACGCTTGCACAGCGTCTTACCTATCAGCCATGATTTAATTCTAGTCTGTTAATTTAAAGGGCTGCTTATATGCATATCTGCTAATTGTTTACGAGATGCAGACAGGTAAGAGGCTGATAATTAGCTGAGCATGTACTGGTTTAATTAGTAGCCTACATTTTTAAATCTTTATTTGAATGTGGAAACATATAATACCTTATTCTACCTCATTCTTGTTGACATTACTACACTAGGCATCATACACTCACCGACTTATAATTAGTCACAGAAGAAAACTGGCCATCATGCACTAAACGACTGAGGATCACACACTACCAGACTTTCAAGTTGTTCCGATCACATCAAGAAATCTCACACAGAAATGTGTGCCTTGTTGCTAGGAGATGCATGACAAAAGAAAACAGTTTTCTAAAATTGGCTGAAATATCAAACATGTTTCATATCCTCTGACTGGATGGAATTATCATCTGAAGCTAAAAAATCGGAGTCTGTGACCATTATATACTACACGATTTTGTATGAAATCTGTCATCTCTAATCTGCATACTGGCTCTGACTTTCGGCATCTAGCATCAACTTCTCCAGATTGTAAATTGGCGGAAAATCAGGGCAAAAATTGTGTAGTGTATTCCAGCTTTAAGAGGAAACTCTTACCTAAGAACTTTTACTGCTGTTTAGAAAAACTCTTAGTGGTAAGATAAAATGTTTTGTGAATACGGCCCCTGATTTAAGATTACAAGGTTATTTGAGTTTGAGTCCTTCCCTTACTAGTCGTTAAGAACTTTTAAAGTTTGGTTCATTTAGGTAATTTATTTAATCCCACTTCCCAGTGGTGAATGCTGGTTACAGATGGCATTGGGTGGCAATGTTCAGCTCAGAGCACAGCTCTCAGATGCATGCTCCTCTTTTCTCATCTGTATAATAAAATAAAATGCAACCAAATACACCACCGCTCAGAATGAAATCCTAGAATCACCTTTTCTACATTAGTCTGACTTGTTTTATTGTTGGAAGTCCTGATGGGGCAATTTTCTACAAATGAATCATGTATGAAAATGTTTTTAGATCATAAACCATCACAGACTATGCTGTAATAGTGACTATACACCTAAAGTGCCGCATTGTGCTTGTATGTATATATGTATATTTCTAACACAGTTTTAAGTGGAGTTTTATGATTTCTGTTGGAGAGGGAGTTGAAGGAATCAGTCATGTTATGAGGTTTAAAGAATGAGGATTATGGCAGTCCTTGAAGCTGAGACTAGTACACGTGTCTAGAGTGAAAATATGTCTGAATTTTACTGTCTGGATCAGCACTGCTGGCATGAGAGACACGATGCACTGGATAGAATCTGCTATTTTGCTGACCCCAAAGTATACTTCGGCCGTCCGCGTCTGTCCTCGTGACGCAGTTTTCGTCAGTCAGGCAGTCCTGGCCTAATGGTAACCCAAAGGTTGCGTGTTCAAGTCTTGTAACCCAAAGGTCGTGTCTCGGTACCGGCAGAAATTGTAGATGGGGAAAGTGAATGTACAGCACTCTCTCTTCCACCCTCCACACCATGACTGAGGTGCCCTTGAGCAAGGCACCGAACCCCCAACTGCTCACCGGGCACCGCAGCAAAAATGTCTGCCCACTGCTCCGGGGGTGTGTGTGTGTGTGTGTGTGTGTGTGTGTGTTCGTGTTCACTACTCACTGCTGTGCGTGTGCACTTGGGTGGGATAAATGCAAAGCACAAATTCTGAGTATGGGACACCATACTTGGCCACACGTCACATCACTTTCGCTTTTACTTTCATCAGAATTGTCTGCTGACATCCACGTTCTGTCTCAACATGCACCTTGCGCCTGCGCTGTTGTGTGCGGACAGTCCGTGCTGTCAAAAAAATTGGGCTGCTTACAACAGCGCATGTGCGAGGTGAATGTTGAGACAGAACGAGTCAAGTAGGTGGTACTGCGCATGTGTTGAGTTCGTCCATCTGTGCTCATCTGTGGTTGAGTATACATTGAAAGCTGTGCGGACGCAGCTGTGCACGAGACGGTGTGTGGAAATTGAAGTATACCCAGGCCAAGTCTTCCAAAACCCTGGTCTCAATTTCAGTCACCAAGACGCATATTCTACAAACACTGGGGTCTGATTTTCATTTGTTAAACATTTTAATGGATAGTTCACCCTCCCAAAAAAAAAAAAAAAAATGTGATTAACAGACTAAACATGAAGGCCTTCCTTCGAATCATATATATTTAGGAGAACTTATTGAATGGCACATAGCCATAGGAAAATAAACCGTGCATAAACTCTATTGGTTCTCATGCTTATCATGACATGCCAGGTTTGAATGTGCAAAGCTTGAATGAGATTTAAGAGCCTTAGCAGAAGACAGTATTTTCAGTGAATTACTAGAATCAGTGATTTAGTTTTGGTCTGTCCCTCTCATATATCATATATATTCAGAAGACTTCAAAGAACAGAACAGTTTAGGGTGTTTTTGATGTCCTATTTGGAGCTTGACATTCTAAATCATTCACTTTTGTTGTATGGAAAAGAGCAACTTGGATATTTAGCAAAATATCGCAGTTTGTGTTAAACAGAAAAATTATTTTTGTGAAATAATGGTCTCTTTCTGCTTTTGACCAATTCATCACCATCTTAAACACATGGATTTTTTTTTTATTCTGGCCATCTGTTCTTTCTGTAAATGAGAGATATCAGCAGGAAGTTGATTTTTTTTCTGTGTGAATTACTCATCTGTATCCAGTCAAATGTTGTTATTGACCTGTGCAAAACTAAAAGAAACCGTGCCTTTGTTCCTACCCCCACATATCAAGTGGTTCTTGCCGATATTGCAAATAGCACAGAAAACTAATTTCACAGTGAGCAAGCTCAATGCAAATGAACATCTATAGTAAAAAGATCCTCCCATGGAGCTTCTGCTATGGATTCTAAATATATGGGATATAGTGAAAAATTGGTTGCGGTCACACTATGTATTTGACTGAGAATAAGTGCTTTTCAAAAACGTTATGAAGCACAGGTGGTGGGGAATCAGTTTGTAATGCCTGCCTTCAACACTTGACTGGGTATGTGGATATGTTCTCCTCCATATATTTCTTTGACTGAACGGATTACAGATTTTATTCCGAGGTTCAGACGGGGTCAGAGCAGTTCTAGATAAGTATAAAAATGCAATTTGAAAGCTTTGAAATGGTACATCAGATTAACATGGTGATGAAAGTCTTCTAAAAATGAATCTTCTCACTAGCTGCATGATTTCTTTACATGTCAAGTCTACGACCCAGGACTCATACTGTCAATCTTTTGTTTTCATCTAGGATTTCAGTGTGTGACGAGGACAAATTCCGCCACAATGAATTCATTGGTGAAACCCGAATCCCCTTGAAGAAACTCAAACCCAACCAGACTAAGAACTTCAGCAACTGTTTGGAGAAACAGCTTCCTGTGAGTTAAAGTCTTTTACAGTTAATCTCTGGAAATGAATCAGTCTGATGACGGAAGGAGCTCAGTTGTGCTAATCATCAGTGTGGTTGTCTGTGAATGATGGAGAAATTGAGGGAAGTTTGAAAGCTACGTAAAGAGATTCAGATATCAAATTGATTAGGACGTCCAAAGTGACTCTCATTAGAATCAACATTAATTAGAAATCGATTATCATTGGAGCAACATCCTCACATCCATCAACCATCTGAGACGCACTTGACAGGCTTACAATCACCAGCAAACAATACAATGTGATAAAGCTATAGGCTGCTTGCTGCCGGAATAAAACAACTGAAACAACTATTCAACAATTGCAGCTTGTATCACTCAATTCAAAACCTGCCACATCCTCGAGGGTAGGGGTCGACCGATATGTGTTTTTCAGGACCGATACCGATTATTACAGATCCATTAGACTGATAACCGATATTTTGAACCGATATATATGTCTGGTGTAAAAATTAAAATTAATGTCAAAATTAAGAATAACAAGGGCTCTGACAAAAACTGCCTTTCCTGGTGTTGGTTGAGTGTAGTACTCCCACACTGCACTTTTTACTCTCGTCTTCCTCTGTGCATCCATCTGCAATAAGGGTAATATAAAAAGATAGTTAAAAGTGGGGCCACTGTATGCTTCACGATTAAGCTTATGAATACTGTACTACAGCTAAACAGCTTGGGGAAATGTAAGTATTTGGCTTCAATAATTTACATGTTAGAAATGTATGTGTAATAGCATAACCTCTCATAATAACTCTTTAATTATTTTCTGATGACTAAAACGTAACCTACAATAGTAGAGGTGACTATTCAATTCATCATCTAATGAACATCAATGGATTAACTTAAAAATGTATTAAATGTGTAAATAATTTAATTCTCTTTATAGCTATATTGTAGCTACTTAACAACTTAAGTTGTTAAGAAGACTGCAACTATTTTCATGAAACTATAACACTAATAGCCTTTTACAGGCACACTTAGTTCTATAGCCTATTGAAATGTCTTGGCCTATGTGACACTAGAAATTTCAGTTAGTTTTAATTTACAGTACAGTGCAAATGAAGGCATAAACCAGTTTAATTACTCTTTTAATCTAATAAGAGTTAAACTCTTTATTTTTTGGCAAAGGGTTTACTATTAAAATTAAAACATGGAAGAAATAGCATATTGTCTGATTATTCTTTTAAACAAAAGTTGAAATAATTGTAGTAGTAGTATTATGCATATCATACTGCACCTATAACAAAGAGGGAAAAATGTAAGGGGGTCTGAATACTTTCCGTACCCACTGTATTTCTGATCATTTCTTTCAGCTAACCCGAACTTTGTTATGACGGGTTGCCATGAGGAACTTTTAAGTTTCTGTAGCCTATGTAAGTGTTTCCCATACATTGATTTATTTGTGGCGCCCGCCACAATATCAAATCTGACCACCACAAATAGATTTTCCAAAAGGCTTTGACTTCATTGAATAAACATGAGCACTGCACGTTTCAAAATTGAAACAAAATTGAAACAGGTGTTTTTATATCAATGTTTTTCTGAAGGAACCCAACTGTCTTCAGAAAATTTTGGATGTCATTTTCATTTCATCTTGCATGTAATATCTGATAAAGCAGCGTTTGTAAGTGGAGCGCTGCTTTGTGTACAGCGTTACCGGGGAAACCTTGATCTCTACCACTCCAACATCGCCTCCTGCTGGCAGAGAATGAGTTTGCATATATATGCCTCCACAAGGGTGAGCGTGATTTGACCAAGTACCACATGTTCCTGGATCAACATCCTTGTTGATCCTGGAACATCATTCCAATCAACCAATCAGAATTGAGAGATAACTTTTCAGGAAATGTAAGTTTTAGGCTTACAATCAGGATTAGGTGCTTCTACACCCCTGTTAATCAGCTATCATTTCCCTTTGATTTTAAGAATAAATTATGGGTAAGGTTAGGTTTAGGGGTAGGGATTGGGTTCAACAAAAGATGTTGATCCAGGAACATGTCTTACTTGGCAAAATCACGGCGACCCTCCACAAGTCTATGGGAAACACTGCGATAGTTTTACTCAAATGAAACTGTCAAATGATCATGAAGTGACTCTCAGAGGGAGTCAGAGGAGTTCTGGAGATGTTGTTCATGTGTTTATGTCCTCATGTAGTGAGACGACAGAAGCTGAAATCACCGCGAGCGTCGCACACTTTGTATGTGTAGAAAACAAAACCGCGCGTCTGTGCCATTTACATACACAGAGACACGCAGAACATGCAGGATTCATATTTAAATAGTATTTTTGTTGCTTAATATTTACAGATACTAGTCCATATCGCTACTCTATTTAAGTGTACTGACCTACTTTTGATTAATTCATCCAAACAGTAAATTACATTTATATGACTGAATTCCGCGATTCCGTCCACATTTTCTGCGGAAATCATAGATAATATTGAGGTGTTTTGCAACTTCAGTGTAACGTTAGTGGATTGTGATTTATTGCAAATTAAGCAACGTCTGCTGCTGCCTTACCTTTGAGAGACAACTGATCACTGAAGCAGCTCCAGTTAGCAAGCGCTTTCGGGGTGAGAGTGAATTCCGCATTGATTGGTCGGACTCGTGACTCCCAACAAATCAGATGGGCGATGGGTGGAGATTGCTTTAGGCCACAGAGTGGTGAGTTCTGACAGGCTGCATCAGAGCCAAATAGCGCATTTCAAAATTAAGTTATTTTATCGGTGAATCGGTTTTGAAAATTACCGATACCGATAATCATAAAAATGCTTAATATCGGCACGATAATCGGTCGACCCCTACTCGAGGGAATACATTTTTGTTTCACTGGAAGTATACAACCATGAATGTATGAAGGACACAGTCCCACACGTGTGTTAGTATACCTGGACCATAAACTAAAGCTATAGCTTAGCAGGAAATCTTTCATCAGTACAGTGCCTTAAGGTGCGCAGCTCTGTTAGGATCAGCACAAACTACTGCTTTATATGGCCTAGAAGAAGAAGGAAAATGTTGAGGAAAGCAATTCGACACACTTCATTGTAGGCATGTCTTCTTCATTTTAGGGCAGTGGATGTAGGTTTTAAGGTATGATTACTGTGTCAAAGTGCTCCATGGATTGACAGGATGAGCAGGTATTAAGTGGGGGTTGATCTCATAACGTATCTTTTATCAGAGTGTCTTGCTTGAAAGACAGGGGTCATATAAACCTAGACATTTTCGGTAGCTGATTGAATCAACTTTGAACTGATAGAATGTTTTATTTTAGTGTTAAATTACACAGCTCTCTGAAACATTTGATTCTGTTTGGCTAGTCTCAACATTCCAAGGTTCATTTGTCTTGGCTTAAAGCCTCTTGCTAGGAACACATCAATATTTTGTGTACAGTTTTTACTTGTGTGCCAGGTAGCCATGTAATAAGTGGGATAATGTACATCCAGCTAGTATGCATTATAACTTTGCGTCAGGGTCCTGATCACGCTGTCAGGGTTTATTCTGTGATAACAATCAGCTGGATGTACAATTCCCCTTCTTTATCATGCATCTATCCTCTACTTAAGCAATATCACATGAGCAAGAATGCTGTTGTTCTGAATATTCGCTGAGTTTCAGTTTATTTCAGTGAAGCGTTTCAAACAGATATGCGCAGAGAATGAGACGGCTAAAAGCACACCCTGTTTATTTTCTTTATTTTGCAAAAGCACAATGTTTTGTTGATATTGTGAGTGTACACAAATAAAAGTAGACCCTTTACAGATTTAAATGCTGTATTACTCTTATATATATGATCACATATGAAGGAGCATTTTAAGTTCATTTGCTGTTATCATTCAAATCTGCAAGTGGTGCCGCCGGTGCCACCGTCGACCCCAGGAGGTTAAGTAACTAAGACCCAATATTAGTTACTTACAAATAGAGTTCCAAATGAAGTCAAAGCAGAATTAAACATTACACGTCTCCAAACAACGCAATGTTGTGGTGTTTTGTTTCTTAATCAGGGCTCGACATTAATGCTTGTCTGCTTGGTCCGGGACATGTGGATTTTGTGAAGGTGCAAGTGAAAGAGAATTTTACTTGCCCGACCGGACAAGTAACATGATTAAAGCGTCAATAACAAACAATAACTAGGGCAGCACTGAAACTTTGGCGAGAATCATTCTGATTTTATTACTTTCAGAGTAAATGGTGACTGATTTAACGGATAATGTATTGACAATTAAGGCTCACACGGAGAAATGAAACTAATAAGCGCAACAGCACACACAAAGAAACAAACATGAACAAACATACTGCGGTAGAAAAAAAAGATAAATGTTCTATATAATATATGATATAGGTAAGCAACATCACACAACCAAGAGTGATGTTTTCCTGTCTATCAGCACGATTGCAAATGTGACATTGGTTTTATACAACAGTAGTTCAATAAACAAGTAGTTAATATTAACTGACTTCCATTTTATACACATTATTGACCGTTTTTGCTCCATTTCGCTAACGAAAATAGTTCTAAGCAAAGCCACAGCAGAACAATTGCGCATCTCCGAGCAACAAACAACAGTGTTTCGTTACTGAATGATTTAGCATTTTTGAACAAATCGGGTGAGTCAATGATTCAGTGAGCCATTCATAAAGACAGTCACTTGCTTCACTCATTGAATGAATCAGCTGTTTGAACAAATCGGTTGAATCAATGACTCACTCATTAAGACCGTGACTTGCCGCCACTTACTGGTGGCTTGGTTTCATATTTAAACGTGCCATTGCATTTTTCCAACATTTCATATTTGTATTTTTAACATGAATCTTTTAACATTATTTATGCGTTTGCAATTTTACTGTGTTTACTGTGCATTTATGGAACTTCTTATCTTCATTAAAGCTGCAGTCCAAGTTTTGCCTCTTTGTCGCCATCTCTGTTTGAAAACCTGCAATTGCAGCTGTGTGCGGAATTAT